ATTAAAAAGTATAAAGGTATGAGGGTATATTGTATTTGTGCAAAATCCAAATGTATTTACCAGGCAGAAGGACCCCATAATATATATATAAGTATATTCTTGATCAGCACCAATAGCCGAGTCGATCTAGCCATGTCCGTCTGTAAGTCTGCTGTCCGTCCGTCCGTCTGTCCGTATGTATGCACGCAAGGATCTCAGAACCTATCAGAGCTAGAGACTTGAAATTTTACGCAGATCGAGTTTGTTTCTGATAATCGATAACTTATTCCGTTTCCAAGCAATCGATACAAATAGATATCGATATCCTGTTTTTTGGGCAATTTTGGTAAATAATAAGAGCTAGAGTCACCAAACTTGACATATAGCTTTTAAAATAGAATATATATATGCATGTGATGTTGGAAGAAGAGGGTTTAGGTATCTCCTAGTCGTTAGCTCGTGACTAGAACCTCTTACTTGACCGATTTTGATTTGGGCCAAAGATTTTCAATACTTATTAATTTCGCCGCCAAAATTTTGAAAATAATGTTTAACCAATTCTAATCATTTTGATATGTCCGAATATGATAGGGACATTGAAAAAAAAAATTATGTATTATAATTTTTAATAATTTAAATTTAATTAGTTTAGCTGATACTTGATATTGGTTGAAGCCTGAAGCTTTGAAATAGAACATACGCTCGAAAATTGACCTAGCGGGTGGATTTCCCAAAAAGCGTGAATCATGTCTCTTTTGGATTGCTTGTAAGTGATTTTAAAGTCAATCGAATGACAACTGCTTTCATAGTAAGCCTGTCTTAATCATATTTAAAAAATCAATTCTGTTAAATTCCTTTTTACCTATATTAAATATTTACTTTAATATATACTACAATACATACTTCTCGTATCTCATCTCATATACTTCTCATATGTAGGTGTAATAGAAAATAAAAAAAAAAATAACGCATAAGAATTTAATTTGCCATATCTATATTCTGAATATCGAGTTCCCAAACACATTATTCAAAACCAATGAAAGTCTGAATAAGCAAGATTTTGCCCTTAAGTTGTCTGCCTAAAAATGCATTGATAAATCATCATGTAGACGTAATTGAAAATGAAAATTAATTTTTTGTTTTAGCTTTTTTCGAAAGTAATTCTTAACGAAATTTCAAAGCGTTTTGAAATTTGGCATGTAACCAGACAACGCGTTGGCCGTATGCCAAGCAAAATAAAAAAAACGAATCCCACAATTGCAAGATGAATGCTTTACGTGAACGGCAAATTAAAAATAATGCAGAATAGTGCAGCAAATTCAAGAGATGCCGCAAGGAATAATGAAATCCATCGCACCAAGTATTCTGTTTATTGAAAAATGAATATCATATTTAACAGGCAAACAACATTGATATAACATTTTGGATTATGGTATTAATGAAATTAATATAGAATATTACAGCTACACAGCTTTCGAAGCATCACAAAGGTAACAGGAAAACCACAACCTACACATAACATTTGTTTATCTAAAGATATTCTAAATATACAAGCCAAATGAATTTCATATGCATACATTTTTCCATTTATATATGGATATATATGTACATGGAAGCATGTATGGGCATGTATATCAATATATGGTACATAAACGAACTTGGAAGATTTTCATTTGTTTTTGTGCACACGGGCGCTTTTCCAATAACAATTCTTAGCTACGGACGTCATTGAGAAGCAACTGTATTAATCGTAGGCACCACAACTTGTGCTAGAATTATACATAGAGAAAGATCCCACGGCGCGAACGCTATGTGGCACATTCCTCTAGCAATTCACTCGATTGCCTTGGGCTCATGCTTTTGCGGCCCGATGTCCAAAAATAGCTGTGCCAACGCGCACTATAGTGCTGCCCATTTCGATCTGCAGGCAAAACAGCATGAATGTAGCTAGTCTAAAGCAGCTGTTGGTGTACTACGTACCGCTTTGTCATAGTCGTTGGACATGCCCATTGAGACCTGCAACGCATCGGGTGGCATATCGTTGGCCTCACAAATGGCGCGATGCGCCTGCATAAGTGCCACAAAGTCCGGATTAGGACCGTTGCTATAATCGAATCCATAGGCGCCAATTGTCATAATGCCCACAGGCTGTAGATGCTTCAGATTGGCGCTAATGTATTTAAATAGTGAGGGTGCAGCGCTGGCGTCAATGCCGCTCTTAACTGTACGGATTAGGCAAGAGTATATTGTGAATGCGACTTGATGTTGATCTAAAACGTTTACCATCTTCTCCACTGGTGTTGATCTGCACGAGCACACGCAGTGGTTCACTTGGCGTGGGCTGCAGCTTCGCCCAGGCGGCATCTATCTTGTTGGCCAGTTTCTCGCTGTCAACCGTTTGAACCATGTGCAGATTAGGTAGCTTAAGCACCTGCAAGAAACGATATATTCAATATTTGTGATCCTGACATGTTGGGGGCAATTTAAGCACGTGATTGATTTTGTTGCTCTGCAAATGTCCAATCAAATGCCATTTGATGTCGGGACATTGTGCTAATATGTCGGGATGCTGACTCTTCTCCACCAGTTCCTGCACATAGTTTTCGCCAAAGTGACGCTGGCCGGCTTTATATGCCGCTATTACACACTCCACTGGCTTTGTTTTACTGACGGCCACCAGCAGCGGTTTGGGTGCATTGATTTCCTGATAAGACAGCAACGTTTTATAGCAACAGATAACACACGATGGCAGTATGGCAGATGTTCTAGAGATTTACCTTGGGGCGACTTTGCAACGCCAACTCGATACGCTTCAATACGTGCTGTAGGCCGGCATTTATGTCAAACTCGGCCATTGTGCGGCGTATCATTTAACTATTATGCTAAGCTTTATTAAATTTGTTTAAGTTGTTGACGGAATGCTTGCAATTTTTTACAAAAACATCTGTTGCCAATTTATCGATAAGTTTGATAATCGCTCGATAATAGGCGATAGTAGGCTGAGTTGTTGGTATTTTGAATTCAGTATTTTATTTATTCGGGCTTTCAGTTTTTGGTATTTTATAGTTTTCAAAAAAATTGTCTTTTGAAAAAACGTTCAACTTGGAATATTGTATTCCGTTAAATTGAGAAAAATGTTTTCACCCCATCAACACTTAAATTAGTTTCCTCAATCAATTCTCATACAGAATGGCTCAGATTATGCAGCTGAGCTGCGATGCGGCCAACACCGTTGTCGACTATCTGCAGACATTAAGAGTTGTGGAAATACGCCAGTCCCTGGAATTCATTGGTCTCTATCATATTGAGGTTATTATAGCTGTATTTATTTTCCTGATGCTGCAGTTTACAAAATTCACTGCTGTGCTTTTGATTGCATGTCTGATAGCATTTGCTATCTTCTATATGGTAAGCAATATATCGAATATTGGATACTGAACACAAAGATCATCTAACTCATTCACCAAACAGTGGGAGTCCTTCTTTCCCGAACTTGACGAACATTTGTCGAGACATAACAAATATCCGGCAACTTACGGCGCTGGATACGGTCCGCCCTATGGGCCCAAAGCGGTTGCCGCGGCTTCGGACTTTCCTCCGCCCTATTATCCAACAACCGGTCAAACTAGCCGTGATGCTCGGACATCTGCCTTATTTCCACCATTCTCAAACTATGACAACGAAGATTCAACAGGTTTATGCAAATATTATGTTTTAGTGTTTCTTTTGTTATAATTTGGCCTTAAGGTGATCATGCAGTGTCGCCGGAAAAACGCCAGTATTTAAATTCTATTGGCAATCATCTCGGGTCAAACCTGAAGAAATCTAGTCCATCTGGGGCTGCCACGCCAATAGGCCACAGGGGCTCCAGCTCTGATTTGCGAGCGCATCGACGACCATATACTGGTCAAATAGAAGATTTTAAGAATTTGCGACGTGCCAATGATCGTGACGCTCAAGCCTTTCGTAGGATGATTACCAACGAGTATAGGGCGTACCGGCCAGGTACTGTTACAGAAACCAATCTTCATCGACACGCAAATCAAACGAACGATGATCAGAGATCGCGACGTAACGGCCCGCCAAATATGGCCGACGACAGGGCATATAAGAACCGACGTGGTACGGAGAACAAATCCTCAACACAAAAGAAAAGCAATACCAATGAGCAGCTGGAGCGTTCCAGAAATGTGTCTCGTGAAAATATGCTACGCAAATTGCGTAATTATCCAGGGCCTCCAGCCCGTACCAGCGGGACCCATAGCCGATCCGATCCCAGCGGTCCGAATGCGGAAAACAGAGGAGTCAAAAGGCGAGCGGGTAAGAGCTCATTCGAAATTTGACTAGACAAAAATTAACATTTTTATCGCTTTAGATAATCACAATTTATTCAAATTTAAACTCAACCGTTGGGGCCTGTGATATGGATAAAGTCAATGTTGTAAACTCTTCCCATGAGGATACGGAAGTACCGGATCATCAAAGCAATATGTACGTATATCAAATACCTAAAATAATACGCTATAAGCACACATAATATGTAATATTTCAAAGCGAATGTGATTGTGATAAAGATGGAGGCGCAGTACAGTGCCATAACCAAGGTGAAATAGAGAAAGCGGTCATCAAATCCGAAGGCAGTTATCCATGTGTTATCGAAATGGTAAATGACAGAAGCAGTGATCGTATGTTAACTAAAATGGCGGATAAAACTATACAAAAACCCATCAAAGACGAAGAAAATAGGGCATCTAACAGCAAAGATACAGCTAACAAAAGTTCGCCTAGTAATAAAATAAAAGGCGACGTGAATAGAAGTTCTACGGAGAAATATCCATATATTGTGGAAGTTCCGTCCTACAGCAAATGAATAGTTAACCCTCCAACTTCTAGCCGGATTTATAAATGTCGCTATCAAATTTAAAGTTAATAAAGAAATTGGTTGTGTGTATTGAGGAGACAAATTAATCAAGTTTTACGTCACTTAGTATATAAGTTGGTATTTTATCTTTGGTATTTTTGTCCTTTTCAACACAGCAGATTCGGTCACACTGAACACATTTTGTTTATATTTGTCGAAAGCAAAAATAAATGTCAAATTTACAATTAACCCAGGAAAAACTGTAAGTGATTCATTTAACTAATGCCTTAGTGACACACAGAGTATATATAATGGGCCAACTCTTCCGCAGCGACGCTCTGCGATCGGAGTACAGACCGCGCAGGCCGTGCGCGTTGCTGAAGTATCCGCGACCGAAAACAAAGCCCGAATACCAATCCATATATCCGTGGATTATACTGGATGAAACGGATCCGCATTTTGTATTCTGTGCCATCTGTGAGTGTCGCCTAAGCGCGAAGCGCTCCGATCTGGGCAAGCACGAGGGCAGCATCAAGCATTCGGAAAATGCACAGCGCAAGTCGGTCATATTCAAAGCGGAGCCCCAGGTGGACGATGTCAAGTGGGAGTACAACGATGACGATATGAGCCTATTGCCGCTACAGTTTGCCACAGCAAGCGACTTATGCAAGACGGAAGCGGACAACGAGGATGACGAAGCCGAAGAAGATGAAGAGGAGGACGAAGATGCAGTGGCTGAGGCAGATGACGAAGATGCGGAACCAGAAGCGGACGCTGATGCCAATGCAGATACAGATGCTGGTCCCGATGCCGATGCAGATGCAGATGCAGATCTTGATTCCGAATATGAACCGGCTTGCAAACGTCGCGTCTCGGAAACAGACTCTCAGCACTCCGGTATGTTTGAGAATTTGCCGCTGCAAGTAACCATCAATGAAACGCCGCACGGACAGCTAATGCCAGCTACCCAATTATCCACAAACTGCTCGCCCGCGACATCTACGCCGCTGCCCTGTCGCATAACAATTAAAAAGGTGACGGCACCGATGACAAAGGTGCCCAGCACGGGTGCCACACCCACGATTGGCTCGGCTGAGATCACCTCAAAGGCGACCATAACGCCCATTGCGACCGGCTGCTACACGCCCTTGCGGCAGCCCCAGCTGCAGTCGTATGCGTCCAGGCAACTGCAGTCCTATCAACTTCAGCACCTCACCTCAATAGAGCCCGCACCGCGCGACTCTCTGGATCTCTTCTTTGACAGCATTTGTGCCACGGTCAAAGGGCTGCCGCCCAAATTGGCCACCGAGGGTAAAATACGTGTCATGCAACTAATTGGTGAACTGGAGCTGCGTGCGATTAACGAGCGCGATGCACCGTCCGCCACGCAAGCAACAGCCACGCCTCCAGATCCTGCCTCAGTGACAGCAGCTGCATCGGCAGCGTCGTCGGATGCGCCCGGCAGCAGCCAGCAGATTGCAACAGTTGCCTCGACCACCAAATGATGGCGACGCGGGCTTAGTCAATGGAATCAGTTCAAATCATACTCCTTAACATAAATGCGAGATTGTGTAGCAAAAATTGTTAATATTGACTTCTATAGTATAAGGATTTTCCTCCATTCATGACCATTCTGTAGCCGGCTCAGTACCAATTGCAACCATGAGTGGCTCTTATCTCTTCGTTATCGCTTAGAGATTGATTATAAAAAAAAAGACCATTTACAAATATTAAATAATAATTATTATTTATCGTTTAAAAAAATAAACAAGTCTGATAAAATGAACATTTATAATTATTGCACTTAATATTATGTCATATCAAAATATAAATGTAAATTATTAAAATGGGGGCTTGCAGTCCACCATGGCCTTGGCGCAATAATGCGGGAATTGTAGGCCCTGCAGCAGCACATCCGATATGCCCTGTAATATAATGGAATAGGCGCGATTAATTTTGGCATTTATAAATAAGGGATTTTTTTTTTGTATATATATATATATATATATATATTTTTTATCATAAGACTAGTTGGCTTAGTTAGATGAGTAATTGTACAAAACTCTACGAATTGCGATAAGCGGCCCGCACTCGGCAACTACATAAATAATGATATGATGTCATTGTGGAATATATATATGCGACGCCCAACCCCTACCCGGCACTTACCGAGAGGCCCGGAATGCACACAACAAGTGTGTAGATGACGATGTAGAAGAAGGCACAAAAGAATGCGACCGCCAGGGAGATGATCCAGAAGACCAACAGCCAGAAAATGAACCACACTGGATTACCCATTTTCAATCAGTAGAGTTGTTTGTTGAATTCGTTTTAAGCTAAAAAGATAAGAAATAAAAACGGGGCATTCACAGTGTGCAGAACAAGCTTCAAGCGCCTCAATTCATTCATTCGGTTCTACAGAAAGCATTACATATACACATTCTATCTATCCAAACATAATTTTATGGCCAAAGAAATCAAACTCAACTGCATTCCACAGAAATTTCACTTTTGCTACAGAATTTGGCTTTGAAAATGCGTGACAAACATTGGAACGACCGATTTGGTGTTGTTTTACGTGAACGTTGACGTAAATAGATATGACGATATATCTTTGTATGTGAGCCGAGGTAAGACAGTGAGTACCATGCACAACTAACTATGTCAACAAGCATGACACGTTTACTAGCAAGAAATTCTTTACATTTAATCAAAAATAGTTTATGTAAATTCAGCCGAAATTGAATTATTGAATTATTACGTTTCTAGATAATTCACATATTTATAGGGTATGTATTTTAAATTAGTATATACCTGACACTTTTTCATATTTTGAAAAAATATATGTATATATATAGTACATAATTATTTGTTTAATAAAAACACAATCTGTCGTTGTCATAAAAAAAATCTTGAAAGAAATTCAAAATATTAGGGAAAGTAAAAGGAAAACTTGTTTAATAAAAAAGAAGACTAAAAACTTGTATTTTAAATAAGAAAAATTATATATACATATATATATTTTTAAAAGTAAACTTTTGAATATAATCGGAGCGTAGCCAAGTTTCGTGTTATCAATTCATGTGTTAATTGAAATGTTTTTAGTTTTGGAAAAACGAGGCAAAGTTTATGGTCTGCCTGACGCATCTGTTGATATTGTTTCTGGCCTACGAATTTGTTGATGATTCGCAGTCGAGATTATGCAAATTCGTTTTGGGGCGTGGCTGCATTTCAAGTAAACGTTAAACAATTTTTAAATGATGTGATAATTACTGCTATATTTAACATGACACTAAACACAATACAAATCGGAGAGATACTTTATGCGTTGTGTTGCATTTATAAATAAATGTTTAATGCGCGCCTACGCCAAGTAATGCAAACAACAGCAACAACAACAACAACAACAAGAACGTAAATAAAAACAAATGACCCACCTTAGAGAGAGATTGCAGCGGTTGCGGACGGGGCGACGTTCGAGTGGGACGAGATGAAAGCGACAACTAAACAAAACTGGCGCAACAAGTTTTAAGCGAGTGCCGCACAGGGCTGCCAGCTTTTTGTAAGTGAAAGCTTTGCGCGGCCTAAAAGCATGCTACGCTTTATTTATGCAGCTTGAAACTTTGATTATTTCCCATTGAAATCGTTAGGAAGCGAATATATCAAGATTTTAGTAGACCTTTGAAAAATAATCCTTTCTAACTTCCTTAACGAGAAATATGCAGTCGAGTTGAGCTTACAATATGTGTTATTTTAATGTATATATATCGCTTTGTTCATACTTAAATTATTCTCTTGGGCGCAAAACTTTATCTTGTGCTCAAATGTAACCCAAAAATGTTTAAATCGTTACCCAATCGTAGTTAAGAAAGCGATTTCACGTGGGATAGTTGGTATCTAGCGCAAAAATCGTTTCATTATCTTGCTTTATACAGGGTATAGAAACTGCTTCGACCTTATTAACATTATAATTCAACATTGCGCATAGCTTAAAAAACGTTTCTAACTCTGGTTTCAGCTTTCAGGTGAGACAAAAGCGCTCACCAGCTGCAAGCTCCAAAACTGTTATACGTTATATTTATAGAAGAAGCCTAAGCTTTTGCATATGGCTGAAGGTAAAAGCTTGGCGCGTCTGCCCAATGTTTTCATTTTTTTTATATACATTTTTTTTGTAGATTTTTGTTGTTGTTGTTGTGCGCGTATCCCGCGGATGTCGACGCCGATTTGCAGCTGTTGTTTTGGACCGTTACTGGCGCCGCTGTCGCCGACTACTGCGATTTAACTGTTCGTCATTCTGTCGTGAGTCGTCGTCCACTTCTCTTGTTGTGTGCGGCATTTTTGTAAGAATATATTTGTGTAAGATTCGATACTCGAAGGAGCTGGCCAATAAAAAACTATTGAGCGCCACAAATGTCGCAAAATATAATCTGCAATAGCTGTTATTTAATATATGTGTTTGATAAGCGCTCCAACTAGACCAATTAATATCAACAGCTGATTAGCAAACTCCAAATCGTACAGCATAAATCAGCGGCAAAAAAAAACAGCTGCAAACGTTTGTGTTTGTGTTTGTAAAAGAAAAAGTTTCAAATATTGCGAGTGTGTGTGTGTGTGTGTGTGTGTGTGTGTGTGCGTGTGTCTGCTGTTACTTGTGTATGCGTGTGTTTGTAATAAAACCGGACAACGTGCGATCGATTTTTGAGGGCCTTACAGTGGTAATTAAACAGACGAAATGTGCACAAATTAGAAATATATTTCAGAAATCAGAAGAAGCACGAATATCAGCGGTTATATACCTACTACTTAACTGTGTGCATGTATGTGTGTGTTAGCCATAAAGCTTTGACAACATTTGCTCAACAAAAAGAATTCTATTGGATTGGGCAACTCTGCCTCTTCAGCACCCCGTTCCCCGCGCCAAACGTAAAATACTCGACAAATAAATAAACAAACGGCCACTAGAGATAATGAAATTTTGTTAGGCACAAAGTATACAAAGAGAGTGAAAGAGAGTGACAGAGAGAGATAGAGACAGAGAGAGAGTCATAGAGAGAGAGAGACAGAGAGAGAGTCATAGAGAGAGAGATAGCATTAACAGCAACAACAATAACAGCAGCAAAAGCCGCAAAATTTGAGGGGCAAAGAGCTGAGCGGCAACGACTGCCAAAAGTTGCCAACAAAAACAAACAACAAACACAAAGAAAGCATGCGAAAAAAAGCTTCTTGGCCATAATACAGAAAGGCGTTGCGATGGAGACGGAAACAGCGCAACGACTTGCCGTATAACAGTTACGAGCAAAGTAACAGCACGGACGCTCCTAATAAGCGTAAACGATGATTATGGCCAGTCAGCCAGAGGCACTGTGCACAGTGGTTCCAATACTAAATTGCAGTTATGTTTCTAAAAGCTTGCACAAGATAATGTATGTGGAACTTTGCTAGTCTATGGTACTCTAGTATATGTAGCTATTTTAGAGGAATATATAATATGTATAAGCAAAACGTGCAATACATTTTCGTTCATGCATTCAAAAACATTAAATCAATAATCAAATATTAATAAACAAAGTCTTCTACCAACAAAATAAATGATTTTAATATATTTATTTCATGTATCTTATTTACCTCGGCTTTATTCTTTTTCAATTAATTGATTAAAATTATTATACATTATTTATATATTAGAAAATATCAAGAAAAGATCAATCAATTCTAACTTATTTAATTTCGCATATAAAAATGTATGCATATATATCGACAATAATACAAATGTTGAGGCAAAAATGGAACAATTTTGTCACACTGTGCAGGGCTCGCTATTGTAGCGGGAACAGCCGCGTGAGAGAGTAGCCGAGCGGAGAGAAAAATCAGAGGCAAGAGCGAAAAGCCGAGCGCAGGTCGTAGTCGTAGTCGAAGTCCGTATGTTTTGTAGCACAGTTTAAAGTACGCATTGCGATGGTTTTTCACTTTAGTTTAGCTAGAGACATCGTCGTGAAATGAACAGAAGCTCTGCGAGCAACTGCATTCCAGCGGCGAATCGACGGCAGATTTGAGTGCGCAAAAAGATAAAATAATAATAATAATAAGAATTAAAACAATGCATAAGTAAATAAGTAAAAACACACACACATATTAGCAAACACATGTAAAGACTATAAGATTGTGTATTTGTGTGAATTTCCCAGTTTTGGTGGTACCAAATTATTGCCAAAATAACAGTGTCACAGTAAAAGAATTATCAAATTTTCGCAGCAATAAAAACGCATCAAAATTAAATCTTAAAAAAAAATAAAGAATTAAAATAAAAACTTAAGCAGTGACATGTAGAACGGCAGAGAGAGCGAGAAAGAAAACCTTCAGATCTGAACGAACGAAAGCTCAAGGTAAGTAAATCCTTGCATGAACGGCTGTTATCGACTTAAAGCTGCTGTTGCCGCTGCCTAACAAGTGTGGGGCAAGGAGGGAAGCGATGGCCGGGACCGGTCGAGGGGTAAGGTGGATGTTGTTGAAAGACTCATATTATTATGATGCCGATTTTTGCATTTAACGATTTTTGATGAGTTCCTTGATCCGTAAAGTCCTTAGCAATTTGCAGCATACGCACACACACACACACACACACACACAATCAAAGCCTGGCTGTGGGACCAGGCGAAAGTGTCCTACAAATTCATAATTCGCCTGTTTATATACACATTGCTGTATATGTAAGGCACACACAATCACACACACACACACACACACACACACACACACACTGGATTCTGCAGGTATTGGTGGTTTATCGACTGGCTGCCTCAATGTCTGCCCGCTTGTGCTGCCTGTCAAAAAAAAAAAGGAAATAAAGAAAGCGGAAAAGCAAGAAAAACCATCCAAAACAGCGAAAGTGAAATTTTGTATAGACACACACACACGCACAGGCACTTTTATGTATATGCATGATTTTTTTTATATTTTGGCACGTAGGCTCCATAACTTCCGCTCGGGCGGCTCTCGCGCACACCTGTACCCAAACACACTCACAGACACACACACACACACACACAGACATAACTTGACAGCGAGCAACATTTGAAGTTCTGATGAAAAGACACATTTTTATTTCGGATGAAGTACATTTTCTTCTTCATCTTCTTGAGCTGCTAACCTTTTTATCATTGTAAAAAAGTTTTCAAATTTGTTTACTTCATTTTTTGTTGCTAGTTCTTTCCTTTTTTGTTGTTGTTGCTGTTTGTTTTGTGCAGTTGGGCAAAAACGCTCGCACACAAATTTCGCTTAATTCAACTGTCGATTTATCACACTTAAAGCAACAACAACAGCAACAACCAACTATAACTATAACTAGTCGGAGCACATCATATTATAGCATATCATCATCGTGATGATGATCTCGCTGATTGCGATTGCGTGTGGAATTCGGTTCCATACCATCTGAGTTCCATTTTATTTGATTCTGCGCTGCAATCATGGGGCCTATTTATATTCTATAAAAATGCCACACAGTTGCAAACATCTGTCCAAACTCAATGTTCGTTATGTGGACTGTCTACTTTTTTTGTGGAAATTCACGAAATGTGCGGAACTGCACTTTAGATTGAGATTTATTTGAATTTATATTGTGTACACCCAAAGAGAAAAACACAATTTAAACAAAAATCTGCTATTTTGTGGAATTTTCACAAATGGATTTTAGTTTTTGCTTGTTATTTATTTTGCGTATTTGTTTTGTTCACGTTAAATCAGAGCACAGAAATTAAACAAACATTTTAAAATACTTTGATCTGTTTCTATTTATACCCTGAACCCATTTAATGAGGCTGAAAGGGTATCATGTTTTTGTGCAAATGTATGTAACAGGCAGAAGGATGCATCTCCGACCCCATTAAGTATATATATTCTCGATCAGCATCAAAAGCCAATGCCGATTTAGCCATATTCGTCTGTCTGTCCGCCCGTCGATAATTTTGTCCGTTTCCAAGCAATCTATAAGAATCTATATTAAAATCCTATGAGCAAAAATTTTAGTAAGAGCTAAAGACACAAAATTTAACATATAGAGCCGAGAATAGTATAAACAGATCAAAAATCATTAATTTTATTAGTTCGAGCTGTGTTTGTCAAATAAATAATTTTTAGTGTATCAGGCACAGCTAAATAGAGCACTCGTATAAATTCATACAAAATTGGACATTTAAATGTGATAAATTTGCAAAATGTCTGAAATATGAACCATTTTGTGCTTTGTGCGAAATAATTTCATTTGCTTTTGATTTTTTGCCGAAAAATATATGTGCACAGAGTTTTTCCAACAAACTATTGGAAGCCAGTCTTTAAAAGTTTGCAAAAATATATATGGTTTGTGTGCAATGTCATCGAGAGTCGAATGTGTTTAATAAGTATGAATAAGAAGCAGAGAAAACTTCTTTGATTAATTGTCATGAAATGAGCAACGCATATAAGGGGACTTCCTCGTCGTCATAAAGTATATATATTCTTGATCTGTCATCATCAACAGATATGTCGGTATAATCATATGCGTCAGCCTGAAATATATTGAGCTTCACAATCTTCTCTAACTAGGTTTTAGTTTTGGCTGCGAATTTTTTCATCGTAATTTATTCGAGTTATTTCGAGTGTAAATTATGGCAGTTGACAGAATAAAGTTAGTTTGGTCTTTAAATATTTGTATTGTTATATTTCCTTTTTTAAATTGCATATGTATAAACTTATTTTCTTTTTACAATTAAGTTGGACATAAGCTTAAGGTTTACTTTTAATGAAAGCTTGTGCTTTTGTAATATTTTCTTTTGTTTCCATTTACAATGTTTGATTGTATAATATCTTTGATATATTGTAATATTATTCCACTCTTATTCCCGAATTTGTTCGTTATTTGCCTTACCTTATTTTATGACTGACTGTAAAAGGCACATTAGGTTGTGCTCTTTGCATTTTATTGGATATATTTCGTTTAAGGGGCCATATTATGCAGAAAATTTGACAAAAAGAGATTAAAAGCGAAAACGAAAAATGCATTTTCTTAGCTTATTGACAAAGATTTATAACAGACACAAAATAAAGTCATTTGTAATATATTCTTTTAATAAAGTATTTGCCATATTCATATTTCAATGTCAACTATTCGGCTTTTTTTTGTTTTCATGATATCATATATTATCACAATAAAAGATGCCGAAATAAATGAGAGCAGAAACTGTTCTTGTTTTATAGGACAAGCAAGTGCTTTTTAGTTTTTTAAATTTCAAATAAAATTGCTTGAGTTTAAGCTGTGTTGATTTCCTCTTGGTGTAGCCAGTTTAGTGAACTATTCACGCTTGAATCATTGTCATTCACTTCTGGAATTGGACTGCAATCGACTTCCGCTTGGCATCAGCTCATCGTGTCAGAGAACTCCGTGACCACAAATGCCCGGGCCACAATGCAGCAGTTCATTTGCGCGCACAATGACCATTTGTTGCTGCACATCCACACAGAAGCAGAACTCAACCCAACGTCACAGCCTCCCAGCCCCAACCAATGGAGATTCCGCGTATAGAAATGCGTGCGGATACAGACAAATCATTTGTTCATTTAAAGTGAACAAATTAAGCGGAGATTTGTCCCGGCAGCTAGATATATGTATATATGGCATATACCGTATTCCTCTTGTCACCCCAAATGCATTCGGAGTGAACTATCCGAATTGCATGTCGCTCCCAGCGAGCTCAAAAACTTAATTGAATAAATGTTCACAATATATATATCAACTTACAATGGAGAGCTGAAGCGTGGGAGCTGTTGGCTTCTTGGGTGCGTTTTTAAGGGATTCCAAAATCCACAAAGCGACTGCCTCTCGGAGGCGGCTTCTCTATTTATTTGCGCATATTTTTTGATTCAATGCCAATGGAAAAGTAAAAAGCGCACAAAGGCACAAGGCTTAAGGCGTGAAACACTTGAGAATTGTTTTGCACTTTTATGTTTGTTTGCCAGCTTTTCCTTTTCCATTTTCTTTTTGTTGTTCGGAGAATTATTTGCACTTGCTTCACTCCACGGGATTTCGTTGGCTTGAATATAATTTATATACATACATACATATTTTTTTCTTTGCCACGCGTCCCCTTTGCGGCTGGGATTTAAGTAGGTGTGTGTGTGCGTGTGTAGGTGTGTGTGTGCTGGTGGATTGGTTCCTTTGACTGGCGTGTTCTGAAATCGAGCAACACATAAAATTCACATTTGCCATAAAAGTATGCAAATGGAATGTCATTAAACAATCGGAAGGACAAACGAATAAGTCTAACAAAAAAAAAAAAATAATAACAAATAAATAAAGAACTAACAAAATTTATCTTACGCTCTTATATACCCAGCTCTATAGGGTATGTGTAGAGAATTTAAGCCAGAGTGAAATTTGAAAATCCCATCCCTGCTTAGTATTATGGTTGATTACAATAATCTCAAAGGAAAGTTATTGACAAAAACTATTGCCGCGCAATAATCTCAGGTAGGGAATCGAAAGAAATTATAAGGTATCAGATCATTTGAAATATATAATGCTCTGAGAATCCATGATAACTAAGTCCTTGAGATTATCTGAAATAATTCAGAAGAGACTTCGCAAGAAATGAATAAATTAACAAATTCTTTTTGCCTTTTGAATCATATCGACATCAGCAAAAGTTCTTCAAGCTTCTCTGCAAGAACCTGCGAAAAAGGCAAAACAAAAGTTTAAGAAGATATCAGATCCTTTAAAATCGAATATCCTCTCAGAACACAGTTATCATTGTTAAGCATTGACGACAACTAGTTCCTTGTTCCATCACAATAAATTAATAAGTCAACAGATCCTTTTTCTTCAAGAACCCGGGTATCATATCGGCATCAACAAAAGTTCTTTAAGCTTCTCTGTAATAATCTCAGCAAGAACTTTGCGAAAAATTAATAAGGTATCGGATGATTTTCTTCAAGAACTCGGTTATCATATTGAGAGCAACAAAAGTTATTTAAGCTTCTCTGCAATAACCTCAGAAGGGACATCACAAAAAAGAAAATAGCAGATCCTGCCACAGTTGACGTAGCATTAAAACGCAATTTTATTGCATGTCCTTGGGGGGCATTGGAATGGCGTTGCCATCATTGTCTTAAGGACAACAACGGCAGGCGGCGACAGCCCAACAATAACAAAGGGAAACAAACACAAGGCAGGACGATGAATAAAGAAAGAGACAGAAAATATGTTTGTTGTTTAACATTAGTTTTATGCTTCTTCTTTTTTTTATATGTCCCTTCGCTGACTACTTTTATTGTTTTCCAGTTCTGTTCTCCTTGCGGCCATTGCCCGGCTATAATAATACGATTTGTTGTATATCTACTGCAGGCTCATTAG